CCCACAAGAGTGTCCCACAAGAGTGTCCCACAAGAGTGTCCCACAAGGAGTGTCCCACAAGAGTGTCGTGTAAGAGTGACCCACAAGAGTGTCCCAGAAGAGTGTCCCACAAGAGTGTCCTACAAGAGTGTCATTTGGACATATGTAGCTTTTCGAACGTGTTTGCATTCGGGTTCGTGGGCTCCATCTTGTTTGTTTTTGGTCTCTGAATTCATGTTTGTCTGGCACAGTTGGAGAAAAAGATCCTGGAGCTGGAACGGAATTTGCTAATAAAAGACGCTGAATTGAGGACTGTGTTACAACTTCATACACTTTTCGCGCCACTACTTCAATTTTGCAGGAGGGCACTGAGGCTTGCTGATTCACGGCTTGAAGATCCAGAGAAGGCTGCCTCGATTGGCACAGTTTTAGTCTTGGAACCTTTGTAGCTTGGAAGGAAGCCATGAAGAAAAAAATTGTGGAGCTGGAGGGCAATATCAAGAAGCAGGAGGTTGGAAAGGTAAGCAGGCTGTTCGTTTGAAATGGCTTCAAGCAGTGCAGGAAGGCATTCGAATTTTGGTGGAGGACAAAAAATGTGAAGTTGTTCCCCATGGCACTTGCATCCTTACTGGATCTCGATGTTGGGCTATTGCTTTTGCAGGAAAACAGCCAGCTGAGACAGCATGTGGACGCTGTGGTGGAGCAAGCCGAGGCCCATGAACCACATTGAAAGCTTTTCAGTTCCACGTTTTGGGGTTCCCATACATATTTATTTTTCCCTTGGGCCAAAACAAACCTGCGAAATGTTTTCTCAAAGTTCTGTACGTGTTGATTCGCACTTCCAACCGGATAGGGTTCGATGAGTCAGGCTCTCCAAGGGAGGAAATTTTAAAGGCAAGTTCTAGCCTTGCGCCGCTTCTCCACAGAGCGCAGTAAAAACCGCGAGATCAGTCTGCATGGGTTCGCCGTGCTTGCGCCCCGAATCTTTATTCGGCAGAGTGGCTGCCAAATTGTTTCTGGCATGGTCAACCGGCCTCAAGTGTTGAAGCAGTGCCGCTTCTGGGCCCTTTAGAAAGGATTCGGCCACTCGCCCTAGCAGCAACAAAAGACTTGGCCTTGTTGGGTTCATAGCCTGACATCGTCATTTTTTGCTTGGGTCAAGAACACCCGCGACGTGCTTTGTTCAAAGTTACTGTGTTTGTTGATGCGAACCTATGATGTCCCGTATCATGTCTCTTTGCTGTTGTTTCCCCAGGGCGCGCAAGAAGACTGGGAACCGCAGATCAGATGGAGAGATGAACGCTACGAGGCGGATTTTTTTGATTTTTAGTATTAATATATTTTATATATTATATATTACATATTACATATTAAATTATATTATATATTATATATTATATATTATATATTATGTAGGCATTTGTATCATGATTTCAATTACGGCAACATGCCGTGAATTTCCTAGAGTTTGCAACTTTTCAGTGTTCCTGAACAAGCAACAGTGCCAGCATCATCCTTCCCCACCAACATTCCTACAAGTGCAAGCCGCCGGAACCACAATTTTTAGTTGATATTGTCAGCCAAGTTGCTTTGTTGAAAGGCCATGATGAAGGAGCACGAGCAGGTAAAGCAGATCCTGCAAGAAGAAATGCTAAAAGCCCAGGTGCATGGGAAGGGTCATCAGCTTCTTATGTGGAAGAACTGGATTTGTCAGGAAGCATGCAAGCAAATTGAGGAGCAGGTGCGTAGGCGAGGCATGCATGGGCTTTGCATCTTAGGCATGGTGTTCTTGCACTGTTTTGCCAATTGGCAATCCTATTCCATCAGAACACAGACAACTCGCCCAGGTTTCCAAATCCTTTCGAAGCTGAACTGGAGGAATTGAAAGACAGGTATGCTCAAATGCAGGTGCATTGAGAACTTACATGATCTTCGCCAGTACCTTTTCGGTATTTTGCCAGGCTGGGACACAGAGGCTAAGTGTTGAGAACGTTCAATTGAGAGAAAAATTGCAAGCGCCCTGCTCAGAAAGAGCGCCGCTGCTCCCTCAGAGTTCATTACACGGATGCGCATACAATTTCTCTGTCAGCAAGGACCAAGAAGAAGCCTTTGATGAGGAAAAGCGCCAGCACCGCCAGCTAGCTTTGGCTCTGCAAAGGTTCCAAGCTTGCAGGTCACGAGTGAATCGACACGATTTCCAGGTTAGAAGATCAAATACGTGTTGCCCACCACATCCTCCAGCAGGCGATGCGGGGCAACAATGCAAACTCATGTCACGTATGTTGATGTTCAGGTCACCTCGCTGGGCACTCTGAGAAACATGGGCGAGGACACAATTGAATCCTTTGAGTTTTTCGATCATGTGGTTGTATATACTGTATATATATATACCTCGTATCCTTGAATAGCTCGGCTCAAATGTTGCTCTCGGACCTGACATAAATAAGCGCCAGCTCCCAATCACAGTTTTTGGACTTCCAGTGACTTCCACTGACTTCCAGGAAGCAGTTGCAGATGCAAGGAAGCTGGGCATCGACGCTTTGTGGCACTAGTTATTTTACCACTTCAGATCTCCTGACACAACTTCTGAAACTGCTGTGTATCCAAGGATCTGGAGAAGAGCAAACGAAAATAACTGGGGATGTATGGTCAAATGGGGTTTGTGATCATGACTAATTATGCTTGGAAGTGACAAAGACTGAAGCTGCAGCGAAAGTGCAGCGTAGTATTCATGCCATTGCAGACGCCATAGGTGTACTGCATACGTTTCACACAGCGGCTTGCGGTGGGCGGTGGTAAAAAAATTGCCTGGAGCTCCGACTTGTAAACTTGCATTTCATGACTGTTCGTAATGAATAGCTGCTTGGATTCCATTCTTTCCAGTATCTGCAACGTTCTTGCTCTTGGCTCCTCTGGACATTCTAGAGCCAGCAAACCACCACATCGCAGTGCTTACGTTTCTTAAAACTTCAGCGTGCAAAAGGCTTGGCTTCACACTGCCTGCCCTTGCGTCGAGTGCCTCTTTGCAATGCTGAGAAGGCGTATGCTGCTATCGATTTGTTGTTTCTTCTCTTCATTGAAGCGAGTGAGGGGAGTTCAAATAATCCACGCAGCTCCACCCCACTCATACCTTTTCCTGGAACTCTTAGGCGTTCATATCTAGGTGGGCGTGGCGTGTGGCGTTCAGTTCAGTACGGATTTCCTAAGTGTGCCTCTCCTTAGTGAGAGCCCAGGGTGTACCCGAGGAGTGTCTATGTTTCCATGCTCGAAAACGGAGTAGTCCGCAGCGGCCGGAGTAGGCTTATGCCAAAGTTATTTGCCAAGACTTGATGAAGTGTTGCTTTTGAGTAGTGTGCCCCAGGGCAGGCCAGAACGTGTCCACAGCGGACGTGAGTAGGGTCGCAGCGACCGAACCTTGTTTAAGTAGGCCCATTGGGGCCTGTCACAGCCTTAAGTGCACACACAGCGCGTGCATTCCAAGCCAGGCCAGGTTTTGCTAGGTCGCTTTAATGAGGCCTGGTTTCGTCGGTTTCCGGCCCCTCCATTTGGTTCCCCTTTTCATCCTGTCCCCTTCACACACACTTTCTTTTCTTCTTTCGTTTCATGTCGTTCCCGGCCGCGCGCGGTTTCAGGTCGCCCAGGTCTTGACAATGAGGTGGGGTTCACTGTTTGTCCCTGGTCACTTGGTTCCCCTTCATCGCAACCACATACGCTTTTGTCCTGTCGTGTCCCCTTCTCACGTCTTCATCTTTTTGTCCTTGCTACACCCGCGTGCACATTAGCCTGTCACTCAGTTTTAGCACGCCGGGGGTCGTGTATGTGAAACCCTTGGAATCACCGGGAATCAATTGATTCGTTACCTTTGACTTTTCGTTTTGATGTAGCAGGGGCGCACGGCATCCATGACCCACCCTGAGCAACGGAGCTAGCCATTGTCCCATCGTAGAGGTCCTCAGGCTGTTGCAGGATGATACAGGTCTGCAGGTGTGCACTCGTCGACTCTCGTTTCCTTTTTCGCGCTCGTTCGAGAACTTTGTAAGCATGGAGCTCTTTGGAATTTGTGAGCTGGTGAACTTTGAGATCTTTCGGACTCATACCTTTTCCTGGAACTCTTAGGCGTTCATATCTAGGTGGGCGTGCGGCGTGTGGCGTTCAATTCAGTACGGTTTGCTATGTGTGTGTGCCCCTTGTAGTCACAGGGATCCACTCGGATTGTGAATTTGTTTTCTTTTCCTTTCTTTTCTTCAGCAGGGGGGCGCAGCAGATGCAAGGGACTGCGCCTAACAAGGTACCTTGCATCTGGGAAGCCAGGTCTGATCAACCTGGTGTACCTGCTTGAATTTTAACATTTGCCGAGATGAGTCAGTCGTAAAGTGCTAATGCATTCTGCAGGCGCGCGCGGATCGCCGTCACCTTGTCGCGTTTCCGCAGTTCGAGCTCGTGTGCTTTGGAGGTTCCTTGAGAGGTTCCTCGGCTACTACCCAACCTGAACCCTTAGGCATTCAAACCTAGGTGGCGTGTGGCATGTGGCATTCTGCTCGTAGCGAGCGTAGGTGGCCTAGGCTGAGAACTCAAACTTATGTCTCATTTACTGAATTCCAACCTGGCTTATGCCTTTACGTGACCGCAGCGGTCAAAGGTGGCAGCCTTGGAACCTGTCGGGACCTTCGTGTGATGAGTTCCTCCCCACCTAATCCCGTTCCACCCGCCATGTCCCCCTCACCCACTGGCTTGGCGCCGATGGAGGGCATCCCAATGGTGGCTCAAGCTGTACTACATCGTGAGATTCTTCACGTACATGCCTCTTTGGACCTCATCCTCACGATTCTTCGCACCCGCTTGGCGATCCTTTCCCGTCCGCTTCTTGGAGCGAGTGACCTGTCCCCACCTTCAAGTACAACTTCGTGGTTTGGATTCCGCTATTCGACAGGCGATGCAGGTCACCCACACCGCTTTGCACTACACTCATGAGTTGATGACCACCTTTTTGGTTCGATCCACACTTTGGATTTTGACACGAATCAATTGGAAGCTGAACGTGGTTTCACTTCGTTTCGAGACCATCGCATCCCCCAACCTGTCCCCCGACCGGACACCCGTCCTTCCTCCTCTTCGACGATGACTACCTCCACACCGGGCTACGACGTTTTCATGGCTTCCCTTCATCGCTCTGACTCAGGATCACAGTGCGCGGTGGGAGCCACGGTTGAGTAGGTAGAGCGTGAGGAGGATACAGCTCCAAGCGGTGCGGACTTCCTCAAGCATCCTATCAGTTGAAGCGTGGAGATCACGCAAGATCTGCTGCAAGTCATCAGGAAGATCCGGAGGGAAATCCGTAGTGTACGGCATCTCATGTAGTACCTCCACCATAGCCATGAATGTGAAAATCATTGCTATCGCAAGTGGGAGGCCAAAAGGAAGGTTGTACAAGGACAGGGGGCCCCGGATAACAGTAAGGGTGAAAGGCGTGACCCAGCAAACTAAAGGAATCAAGGTCATCTTTTACCGCGAGGAAGAGATCGAGGTGGTAGCAGAAAATGGGGATCTCCATAAGGGATCACAACGCTGCTGAAGGGTAGTGTACAGGGACCGCAAGAAATGGAGCGGCGGTAGACCTCAAGGGAACAAGTCAGCCCTGTTCAAACCGTAGGCTCGAAGTTCATTGATTTTGATGAAAATCACGGCGTATTGGACTTGGCTAACGGCAGTGCGGCACTTGAACCCAGCGATCAGACTTGTTGCGGATCACATCATAGAAGCGAGAGGCGAGGGCATCACAGGGAAGGCCCCCGGACCGAACCACAAAGCGCTGAAGACCCCTGTTGTAACACTCCCCAGCCACAAAGGATTGGCGGCTAGCCTCGCATCCGCCGAACTCCGCAGCAGTGTGGAGGGCACATTGAAGTTCTGCTGGGAGGATGTCGGTGATGGATTCATCAACTCGTCCATCGCTGTGATGTCCATGTCCCGGATAGCAGCACCGACAGTAGAAGCACAAGCTGGGGAGGTGATCGCCGTCCTTCTGATGTCGCCAGGAGCTGGGGCGAATGAAGCCATCCGACAAGATGCCATGCATGGAGACGGCGGGTCAATTGCGCACGAAGGTGCAGGTCGTGTTGTGGCCCGTGGAGTCGAAGTCGTTGCTGAGGGGGTATTCCAGCTTGAGAAGCAAGATGAGGTAACTACGTTGTGAAAACGAACAGTGGCCGTCGATCCATGATACCAGAAACTTGGACAAGGTGCTGCAAGTACTGTTTGAAGTGGTTGTTCCACTGTGACGCGGGCACTCGCCTGAAGGAGCTGGTAGGAGGCGAACAAGCTCATTGTGGACCGTGGACCAAATCCCGAGGCAGGGGAGTGATCGTCCACCAAATCTTGGCGATGGGGTTCAATGAGCTGTAGCAGCCGGTCCCAATGATTGCGAATGGCAAGCCATGCACAGATTCTGAGAACCGGCGGCGACGACGTGTCGCCAGAAAGGGTGGTCCAAACATGCTGTTGAGGACCCGGGCTGAGGCGAAGTTCCGGAAGGTGTTGCCAGAAGCTTCCAAAGTGCGCCAAGGTGCGCTGAAGGGCTCCCACCGACTGTTCCATGCTGGCTCTTGAGGCGGTGTGACTGGTTGTCAGATTGCCGGGAGGACTGTTGGGAGGGGCGAGCTGGGTTCGCTCCATCATCAGGTAGTGCCCGAGGGCGTGGCTGAAACAGGGAGATGGAGAGGTCCTGGTTCTCGTCCGTGAGGGGGGTGTCGGCGGGGCCGGAAGTCGGAGTCGCGGTAGAGGTGGGAGGTGGTGGTTGTGATGACTGTGGGGATGCCTGGGAAGTGGATGGTGTTGAGGTTGGCTGGATTGGTCGAAGCCTGGGAAAAAAAGGAAAAGGGGTGAACAATTGCTTGAACTGGTAGAAATTGTTGCTGGGCGGGACGGAGAGCCGATGGGGCAGGGGGTTGTGGTTGAGCCTGTAGTTGAACTTGTTGACGAAGTTGACGAAGTTCCTCAGCCTCAGCATTGGAGAGGGTGGTCTGTGGTGGGGTAGTGGTTTGGGTGAAGGCTTGTGGCGGCGTGGTTGGTCGAGAGTCCGGTTCGGGGTAGTCTGCAAGGTGGGTGCATTGCCAGGTCCCGGAGTCAATCTCAGCGAGCGGCGGTGCCAATGCTGTAGAATCGAAGCACGTTCAGAATTCGGTCGTGTTGAAGGAGATGGAGTCGTTGTGGGGAATGGGGTTCTCGATGAGATCGACTGCGGTTGGATCGCCGAGAAGTCCGGGATTCACGACGATCCCGCCTTGCAGCAGCATGTCTCCGATCTGAATCATGTTGTCGGCGATCAGACGATGTCGTGAGTACGAGAGCGGCGATAACGTCCACGATTCTCGCGCGCATCACGTACATCTCGTCCATCCCGTCCAGGGTGCGCACGTGGGCGGTGATCCCGAGAGGAGATCGGGCGGTCACTGCGTGGTTGAGCGCGAACTCGTGGCGAGAAAGTCGATCCACGTGATGCGGGGGTGCGCGGGGTTGTCATGCAGAGGTGGGGGTGGAAGGGGTGCGAGGTGGCTGGGGTTGATGTGTTTGGGTGGTGTGGGAGGGAAAGTGGGGCGAGAAGTCGGCGCCCGAGGGGTGCTTGCTGGTCCAGGAGGAACACGAGGTCGAAAAGCCAGATTTGGTCGAGGCACGGAAACATGAAGTGATGCTGGAGCCGACGGTGTAGTAGGGAGTGTCGCCGACGCCGATGGAGTAGGCGGAGCAGGCGGTGTAGGCTCAGCCGGCGCGGCAGCCGTGGCAATCTCAGTACCAGGTGCAGGAAGGGTCTCGGCCGCGTCATCAGCATCATAGTCCGGAGCGGCGGTGATGAGAGGAATCCGAAGAGTCCGGCCGGTCCATGGCGACAGTAGCGGGGTATCACTGATGTTGACCAAACAAAAACCACATGGAGGAACAAACGTGAAGAATACGCGAAACATGAATAATGGGAGGGTGAATGTGGAACCGTGAAAATGAAATGAGGAGTAAAACGCACAGGCTAGAGCCGAAGAATCACATGG